TTATACTCATGCAGATATAAATAAGTTTTGAAAAAATGCATGACGACTTTCATACACTGTGTATAATTATCATCAATTACTTTCTATAATAATTATAATTTTTCATTTTATTTCAAAATTTTTAATTCAATATGAAATAATACATTCATAACATATAGTTCTTATTTTGTATTTTCTCTCTTCCTGGGGTTATAACTCCCCCAGTAAGGGAGAAAATTATGGAATAACCTTTATAGAATAATACTAAAATACAACAGCGTAAAAAGAAGAAAGAATTCAATATGCATTGTAAAACATTATCCTACAAGCTAGTGAATTAAAAATTACAGTAATTTAAATAATGTTGAAATATTTACACAAAATATAATGACACTCTAGAACTCAATCACAAGAATTTTTTTAGTTTTAATACTTTTTACATCAACATATCAGATTTCTATAAAATTATTTTATTTAATGAATAGCACATTTCACTCTAGCAAATCTGTCTCTAAAAAAAGCATCTATCTTAATAATAATTGATAATATATAACATTCATCACAATTATTTACCAAAGTAGTTTTAAAACCATAAAAATCAGATGCATGTAAAAGGTTTACACATTTCTGTTATGACATGTTATCTCTATTAGAAGCCCATACTTATTTTTTATTTCTTTGGTTAAACTATTCTAATAGGAGGTCCCTCCAACCATTTACAAGATTATTATATGGAGTAAAATAACATTATGCTTATGAAAGAATGGCAGAGACTTTCTCTACTGATCAATGTATCACAGTGAATTGCTAAAATGATGTTGCTATAAGGCAAGTCTACTGTATAAGCATCATTATATAGTGCAGTCTTGATTTTATAAACAATAATAATAAATAAATCTTATATATGTAAAAATAAAAATATTGTATTTTTACATATATTTATATAAATTTATCAGTATTAAAAAAACCCTTAAAATCCAATAACCAATTCAAGAAATCAAAATGTTGAAATGAGTTATTTGTATAGATTACATATATAATTCACTTAAATTTTTAAAAAAATTCTTTTCCGTTTAATATGCAAAATGCTCATTTCAAATAATATTTAATTTCATCTTATTTAAGTTCTCTCTTAATTTATCTACACTTTTTGTAAAAGCATACTAAACTTTATTTTTTATTCTTTTTTTTCATTTATTTTATTCTAATAAAATTTAGTTCTTTTAGTTGTTTGATTAGTTTTACATTATTACATTTTAAACAAGAATATAAACAGAATACAGAGATTCCATTAAATAAAAAAATCAAGTTGTGATGTGATAATGATTACATTGCATCTTGTTTTTTTGTTTTTTGGGAGTAAGCACAAAACTGCTATATACAACTTATCAGACAGTAACAGTTTGTGCAAAAATGAAGTCTATATCAGGGGTTTCCAATTTGTCTTCCATAAATAAAATTTGGGATTTCACAATAAAATCGATTGAGTCTAGTGATGTATGAATGTGCCAATGCAGATTTGGATTGTGATGTTTAATTGTAGTCTCAGATAGTGTCCTCTTATGACATCCTGTACACATACTACAGTTATTTATAACTTTATAAACAGTGGAAACTCATTTATCAGTAATGGAACAAACCAAAATCATGATACAGGAAATCCTTGTTAGTTCAAAATTCATGGGATGAAATAATCATAACTTTAAATTATCCTAGATTTACATATATCTGTAGAATATTCCAAATGCCATGTAACTGATGTAATTTACAGTATTAAGCAACAAAATATGCTTATGTATGCAGAATACTATTTTTGTTAATTAATAATAATAAAAATGTGAAGGCAAACAGTACGTGTCCAATAACAAACCCCACAGGTTGCCAGATAAGTTTTATAAAAAGTAAAGCAAAATTCCTCAAAATGTAGCCAAAATTATTTTAAAAGTGATCCAAAAGCTAGTAAGTCATACAAATGTAGCAGCCTAGAGCCATACAAATATCTCAATCTGCTACTTGTGACCCAATCTTGCAATCCCAAAAAGCAGCCATATTTTATGAGTTAAAAGACTAGTCCATGGGTAAAAAAAGTGACACCTGAAAATGTGTTATTGTGAAAGCAAAGCCATATTGACCAGATTAGATTTGTTTTTGATCTATTGTTCTCTTGTAGTATGAAAGCAGTTTGATCTAAACAAATGAGTCAACATATGCATACCACAATTTGAACAAAATTTTCACTTCAAATTTTGAAGTAGCCATATTTTGAACTAATCAAATTTCTTACATGTAAATCTATATCCCTGGCTGGGACAAAAGTACAGTTATGAACTAACAGGATTTCGAACTAATGAATATTTCCTGTATAATGTTCAACAAGATAATGAAAATCATAAAAAACAGTAAAACTTAACCTAAAGCTAAAAAATCATTTTAAAAAATAATCTTAAAAAGTATCCAACTTATAATTAATAATACAATTGTTAAATATGCTTTAATTCAGCAATATCTGCAGTGCAAGCCAATTGAATCTAATGACAAGAGGCCACTCAGATGCTTGATGGTACTGTACATACTATGATACTTTGTCACATTCATGTCACATTTCACCAAGGAGTTAATTAATGTCCCATCATCTGTAGTACGTTGTATCACAATGAAACAGCATATCAATGTAAATATCAGTCAAAAATTATTAGTTTTGCACTATAATCATTCTGTGATATTTTAAGTATTTTTCATATAAAAATATAGTGGAAATCATAAATTATTTGTGCTTTTAGTATTGTGTACATCCCAAATTAAAAAAAAAAAAAAATCATAGGCTGAGAAAAGAGTTTTGAAGAAAAATGTAGCTAGTACTTTTTCCCCTCAATAAATTGTTTTTTGTGTTTCTATTTGTGGTTTTATCTGTAATCATTAAAAATTGCCAGGGTTCCAACATTCTTTACTAAGGTGAAAAGGGTTCTGTAATAAAAATACGTTGGGAACCTCTGGTCTATATTATTCATCAAAAAGTGTTCTTGTGTGATAAGTTCTACATAGAAATTTTGCACTTACTCCCAAAAATTATATTGCAGTTATAACCATAATGTAATAATTAAAATGAGCAATTATTTATTGTGATATCACCATAACGCTGGGCTGCAATTTTTAATTTATTTAAAATATATGCTGTCCACCTCAAATCAGTAGTGGCTTGCCCTCATACACCATACTTTTCCTTTAACAATACAGTTTTGTATGTCATCTATTAACTGCTTTCAGGAGAAAAGTTTTGAATTGAAAAAACATGACTTTCGATTTGCATCAGACATTTATATATATATAGTTAATCGGGCCTCCTGCTCCTAAGATTGCTATAGCTGGTTTTGACTTTCACATATCTAACTCCATTGTTGACATTAAGGAAGGACAGATGGACTAACAAATGACAGTGGAAATTTATAGGTTTACAATTTTTTCAAATTGCAGCCCAAATAAACATAAATTATGAGTGTTTTTAATGCTTTATTACATTAAGCTTGTGAATAGACTATTGAGTATGTGTGACAGTTGAGTTCAAAAATACTGATAATTTCTATGCATCTCCTAAAAAGGTCTGTTTGAAAATCATTGAACTTGTTTAGAGTAATTTTAGGAGTTCTATATCAAAAGCTCTGCATCTACATTTATATCTTTAATGAATTGATCTCTGAACATCAATTTATCTTTGTTATTAGAGTTAACCAGCCCATCTGTTTATGGATTCTATGTTTATTGTAACAACATTGTACACTTTAAAGCAGCAATGAGCAACTGCATAGGCTGTTGGTGGGCTGCACAATATTTTTTCTTATTACAAGCTCTTAGCCTGTTCAGGATCAACATACTCCATAACCACTAGTAAACAAAATAATATATTACTAGTTTGCATATCATTAGTGCAAGTTACATAGTGTATTCTCATTTTTTCACTTGTCAAGTTTAGTCTGAATGTCAGCTTAATTAGGATTGCACAGTGGCCAAAGACAGAAAAGAGAAAAATAAAATTACATGTCCATAGTCCTGAAGGCCACATATTAGAACCTTGCAAGCCACATGCAGCCTGGGGGTTATGAGTTGCTTGTGACTGCTTTAAAGTATTTGCCTGAATTAAAATATTTTTTTTTGCAAAAATTTTAACTTAAATATTAACTTACTTTGTAAAAGTTTAAAATTATACTAATCTACACAAAAAATTCTACATTTAGCATATCAATTTTAAATACTTACCAAAATTCCCTAATTTTAAAATTAAGTTTGTAATATTCAAATTTTTTATTATAATTATACAAAATTAATTTAAAATAACATATCAAAACATACATTGTTTCAAATTACTATAACTAAGCACTAGGTTCCTACAACTATTCAAATTAATAAGGTTTTAATTAAAATTATTAGAATCTTTGTTGTTCTGGATAGAAAAAAGGAAAAATATTTACTGTATAATATGCTGATTTTTCAGTATTTTAAAATTAATACATGTAGTGTGTTTGTATTATTTTTAACTGGAAGGAATTATTCATACCTTAATGATTTTCCATTAAGTAATTGTCTGTCACCAGAGAGATGATAGAGAACAGTAAAAATGTCTGTCACAGGATCCCAAGGAGATGGGAATCTGGATTGGCCACAGCTTTTCACACTGTGTGCACATTCATTCATTCTGTTTCTTTGATTTAATCAAGATCTATTTATGGAAAATGAAATTTCAACAATGAGACGAAGTTATGATTATGGTCTGACTTTCCTATATAGAACAATTATTCTTCAGATGATGTGACGATAGCAACAACAGAATGATTACTCAAAAAAAAAATCATTCTGTTTTTATAAGTTAGATAAAATACAAAAATCAGACCAAACAAAACAAAAAAGAAGCAACATAAATTTAAAAAACGGATTATTATATAAACCAATATTAATAATTCTAGGACAATTTATTATTTCTTTCCCTTAATATTCCTAAATAATATATCTTACATAATATTTTAGAATACCTTATCTAATTCAAGATGATTGAACACAAATTCCACAACTACATCATCTTCCATTCCAAGCATATCTGTAATTTTTCTTGCAATCCATGGTTTGATAATATCTAAATTCACTTTACTCATATCCACCTGAAATATAATCAATTAGTATTTTAATAGAATGATAGAAAATGCAGAATACAAAAAGTCAATTGTTATTTATTTAATGATTTGATTCTAAGATATTTAAATAAATATTTCTTTTGGATATATAATTTTTAAATTTTAGATTTCCAATAATTCTGAATTTTGTACAATTTAATTATATTTCTCAAAAAATTTAAAATAAAAATGTTATTAAACTTATTTAAATTAAAATGTGATAACAACACAAACTGTATGGCTTATCTTAAAACATGTAGTACTAAGTCAAAAAACTTACATTTGAGAATAACATGGATTTATATATGGATTTTATTGTCTAAATGTAAATACAGTAGAGCATCAATTATCCAAATACAGTAGAGCCTCAAAAACTCGGCCTAATGTGGACCGAAGGGTGGCCGAGTTTGTAAAAATGCCGGGTTATCGGGAATGGGGTTAAAAAAGGATAAGTATGCGTGTTTCCTCAAAAAATATTGTACTGTACTTGTATGTATTGTTTGCTTGAGAATACAACAGAGAATAAACTGCCCAAATACCCTTAAACAAAGGAAAAGTACATCCTTTATGATGGCATAGAGCCTTTACTACATGAAAATGAAAATTAATGAATACACTATACAGTAATTTACCTGATAAGACAGACCTCAGAAAAGCATAAAGCTGTCTACAATGAAAATTATCTAGCCGACTCCCAAGCCCTTAGCCACTGCACTGACACTTTCTCCGTTATCCAGTCTCTTTAATGCCCGCAACTTTTGCTCCATAGACACGTTCACTTGTTTTCTTTTAACGGAAGATGCCATCGCAGAGTACTGTTGTCGTGATGGAATTGTCTAGATCAGTGTTTTTCAACCTTTTTGAATACGCGACCCCTTTACAAGTTAAAAACTTCTGGCGACCCCCTAGGTCCATTTTAAAACTATATCAGTGATTTAAAAAATTATGTATTTAATTTTCTTTCTGTTGAGAGAGATTACTGTTGATGACTAAAATGAGAATTTAAGGAGAATCGACAATAACTTAAGACACGTATAGTATGTTATTTCCTTCTTATAATGACAATGGGTTCGGAGTGCTGTTGACGTTTTTTTTTAGGATGAGGGTTTTTCACTTCTACTTCTCTACTTATTACTCCTTTTTACAAGTCAGCTCAACACTTTTTCAGCAATCATTTTCTGGGGTGGGTCGTACCCACCCAGGCCTCTCCCAGGCGACACCCATCATTCGGACCTAAATGTCAATCAAAAAACCAACTGTACTGTATAATAAACAGGTGTGGGGGCCGAGGGGAAAGAAATTTAAAAAAAACTAGACGAACGATAATATGCAATATGTATCGTCCTCATCTCCCCTGCCGTTTGGATTTCCGAGCGGTAACAATCAACATGTGGAAGCAGTTGAGTCAGAGATAGATGCTTCGTTTACAAACAACACAACCGTTTATTAAACACGAAAGAAGCTTACAAGATTACTGCGATCTTGGAAGTTCTGTGGCGGCTGCGGCCTCTGGGTCTTCCTCTCCTTTCCAAGATAGTCCCATTTTGAAGGAGTGTCCCTTGTTCGTGAAGGAACCATTCCATCACGTCTCGACGACTCCAGGACGATGCAGTCGACTTCCGTTGATGGAAAGTTTTCGATCCGAGGTCGGGAGATGGAGATGAAAATGGGTGCGAGACACACACACAACAACAGATCCGTCACTTGGAACTTTCGGGAGAAGAAGCCGTCGCGTCCTCGAATTTCTGGGGTTTTATCTGTTTTCTCTCAGATTTCCCTTTCCGATTGGTCTCCCGTCGTCACCCGATGACAATTCGAAACCTTTCGGGGGCGCGGGAGAGGTCAAAATCGAAGTTTAATTCGATCTCCAACTGGAAATGGTCGACGGACTTACATTCTTCTATTGTTTTAAAGTTAGCGTCGCGTTTTCATAAAATAAAAATCTATTTCTAACTAATATATTATTTTTTTTCTAAAACAATTATTTTAACGCGAATTTTAGTGAGGGTTCAGACCCGTCCAGAGCCTCACACAGTTACAGCCTTCTCACTGAAGTTGTAGTTTTTTTAATCTAGTGTAGGACCTACAAATACTTGTCTTTTTCTTTTACCCGCAACCCCCCGTGTAAGGCTTCGCGACCCCCAGGGGGGGTCGCGACCCACAGGTTGAAAAACACTGGTCTAGATGTATGGTTCCCGCGCTTTTCCTCTTTTTCAAACAAGCAATGGTTGTCGCCATAGAATTACGGATCGAGAAACGACCGTTAGTTTTGAAAACAGAATAGATGATTGGCCGTCGATCATCGGACGATCGCACGGACCTCCAATAGGACTACGAAGCACTCATTGGTCAATCAGCGCTATCTTCATTCCATATAAAAAGATTAAGTTTAAACGGGAAAGTTAAGTTCGCCTAAGTTCATTTTCGCCCTGCCAAGGTGTGGCCGAGTTATCCAGAGTGCTGGGTTATCGAGTGCCGAGTTTTTGAGGCTCTACTGTACTGATCAACCGAAACATCAGTTAACCGAAAGCGCTCCAGTTGGCAAATTTAAATTTCCACTAGAACTGTGGCATTGCAACACTCTTCTCCTCCTGCCAAACTGAACTGTAGGCCTAGTTTAATGTATTACATTACGTAAGGTATGTATTTGTAATATGTGTGATACAAATTATATACAGTACAATTTTGTGTTTAATATATTTTTTTGTAAATGATCAGTTATCCGAAAAATCAGTTATCTAAACCACCCCAGTCCTCAATTGTTTCAGATAATCAATGATCTACTATATTACTATAAATTAAATAATTGCTTATATTTTTGATAAAACTTTAGACTGAATTTCAAATTTAAATTTATTGTCCCCAACACACTTCACAAAGCAATAAAAAACAATTACAATAGTTAGTTGAAATGGTTAAAATTGTAAAGCTAGTTGGTTCAAAATTCATGCACTATGGCTTGTTATGCCGATTAATCTCTTTCATAGAATTCACAATATGAATTGGGTATATTTTTCTTCTAATTCACCATCTGAAGCAAAATTTATGCAATCAACATCTTTATTAGTTGCAATTTCTGAATCTTCTTTTATATGTAAACTTCAAAAAAATGCACGACCAGAATATAATTTAGTAGTGATACAATGTCATTCTTCTTTGTGCTTCTAAGTGACCAGTAGAATATACTTGAGTCAGGGGTGCACAACCTGCGGCCCGCGGGCCACATACGGCCCCTTATCAATGTTTATGCGGCCCGCTGGATGGTACAGGCCAAATCCCTTCTTTCCAAGTTTCTAACTTGTAAGTATAGAACTTTTCCCTTTCACAAAGTCATTAGCACCCAACTGTTTTATAACTTTCCCTGAAGTGAGAAATGGGGGGGTTGTTCTATAAATAAGTCTATTTCTAGCTAACACTTTCTGGTTTAGGTATCGAATATTTTAAGTTTAATACATAGTATTATAACGATTTTTTGAAGAATCAAATAGAATAAAATGATATTAGAACGTCATTTCCGATGTTATCAGGAAGTTTCTATTTTGGCAGAAAATCTTCAATTTTATGCTTCGGAAAACTTGCTTATTCGCGTCAAATAACAAAAATAAGTGAAAGTAGCGCTGAAAAACCATGAATAATAACGATTTTTTAGCATTTGTTTACATTCCAGATTCTGATTGGTATAGTCGAATTTGAATCAATCTTTTCTGAAGAGACACTTATTCGTCAACCTAATGTCATTCAAACTAGAAAAAACTAACCAGAGTTCAAAAAGAAATGTACAAAAAGCTATAACAACCAATAATTTACAACAATATCTCTCCATAGACTAAGAATAGAAAAAAATTTTTTTGCATCAAATTTATTATTATTAAGTTGGACCAAGAAAATTAATACAGTACTGTAGTTGGAATAGAGTCATTATGACTAAAA